TCCCCCACCATAGAGTCTCCTCCTAGCACGGCGTCCTTTTTCCTCTACCTGTCCTAACCAAAAGCCCTATCAATTGTGGAGCCGACCGGTGACAGGGAGCAGCAGCAGAGGGAGGAAAGAGCCACATGCGGCTCCAGAGCTGCAGGTTGCTGACCCCTGGACTAGAAGACCCCCAAGATCCCTTCCAACTCAGCACTGGGCTGAGGTGTCTATGTGGTGCCCCCCAGTCCACTGATGCTAGTCAATGCAGCATCGTTCCCTCCAGTCATGTGAATGAACAGACACCCATCTTAGCAGGTATGCCTATAGACCTTAGCACAGAGATGGTTGCAAGTTTTTGTTCTGTTGAATTGCTTCGCTTGTAAGGATTTACATGGACGTGCATATATACACATATCCTTTCTCACAAGTTACACCACTGTGGGGCAGAGCAGTAGGTCAGATCGGCCTGTTTTCACAGCCTTGCTCCAAACGGCCAAACTTTGCTTAAGAAGCTAAGAATAGAAGATTCCCCCAGAATCTTTGCTGTCTCAAAATAATGTCTTTTTAAATTTAAATTAATCAGGATGACATATATATATGTATCCCTTCTTCCCAGTAGCAATTGGGTTATCCCCCATGACACCAGGGCCCCTCTCCAGGATAGACTAAGGTTTGATATGACTTGTCTGCATATTGCTCAACATGGGGAATTTAAAAGTCAACCTCCAATCTCTCATGGACTAAAAATTGCTCTCAACTTACAACCATCCATTTAACGTCCAAAGTTATGACTGTGCTGAAAAAAAGTGTCTTACACTTAGGATCTTTGTAGCATCTCTGAAATCACATGGTCAAAATTCCAGAGAGAGAGAGAGGGAGAAGAGGGCGGGGAGGGAGGGAGAGGGAGGGAGAGGGAGAGGGGGAGAGAGAGAAAGGGGGAGAGAGGGAGGGAGGGAGAGATGAGGTAGAGAGGGAAAGAGAGAGGGAGAGAGTGGGAGAGGGAGAGATGGAGAGGGCGGGAGAGAGAGGGAGAGAGAGAGGGAGGGAGAGATGGGGTAGAGAAGGAAAGAGAGAGGGAGAGAGAGGGGGAGATAGGGAGGGAGGGAGAGATGGGGGAGAGAGGGAGAGAGATGAAGAGAGAGGCAGAGGGAGGGAGAGGGGAAGAGATAGGGAGGGAGAGGGGGAGAGAGAGGGAGGGAGAGATGGGTAGAGAGGGAGAGAGAGGGAGAGATATGAAGAGAGAGGGGGGAGGGAGAGGGAGAGAAGGGGGGAGGGGGAGGGAAGAAGAGAGATAGGGAGAGAGGGGGGAGAGAGGGAGGGAGGGAGAGGGAGAGAGAGAGAGAGACCATTAAGATATTCAACAAAAATTATATCTAGTTTGTGAGTTTGATGAGACCCGGCAAAGATTCAACCCAGAGATCCTTTTTTAAATGAGATTTGGTTGGACAGCCAACTCAAAATAGATTTTCTGGATTGGCTTGGTTCAGATCAGATGTGACCAAATCACATTTGAATTTCAAAGGCTTTTGTCTCTAAGGACAAAAGCCTTACCCCTCCCCCCCCAAATTTTTTTACAAGATGGAATCAACCTAATTTGAGGTTTCAAACCGATGCGTGCAGTCAACTCATTTTTCCCAGTGCATGTGGATTTATATCGTTCAGAGTTGCTTGGGAGTAAACACCATGGGACATAACGAATAAAACTTCCTATAATCTAATGCCTCCTAGATATAGACTTCAACAAGGCCTTCCAGAAGATTCTGGACCCTCTAACCCAGGGATGAAATCCAGAAGGTTCTCACAGGTTCTTGGGAACCAGTAGCGGAAATTTTGAGTAGTTCGGAGAACCGTCAAATACCCACCTCTGGCTGGCCCCAGAGTGGGGTGGGAATGGAGATTTTGCAATATCCTTCCCCCAGGAGTGGGGAGGGAATGGGGATTTTGCAGTATCCTTCCCCTGGAGTGGGGAGGGAATGGGGATTTTGCAGTATCCTTCCCCCAGGAATGGGGAGGGAAGGGAGATTTTGCAGTATCCTTCCCTTGCCACACCCACCAAGCCACGCCCACCAAGCCACGCCCACAGAACTGGTAGTAAAAAAAATTGGATTTCACCACTGCTCTAACCCATCAGCCACTTTTTGAATGACTTTTCTGATTCCAAAGAAAAAATTACTTTGCTAAACTCTCTCCAAATTGAGAAACACTCATTCTTGAAACTAGCTGGCTTATTTTGACCCCTTGAGTCAAAGGATCTCATGAATTCTATGGCAGTGGAAATACAACAATAATCAATAACAATTTGTGGTCTTTTCCTTGATATTCTAAATTAGTTCCCTGCCGTCTAATCCCAATCCTGGAAATTTCGTTATTAACCTCTCTTACGGAGAAGCAATATTTTGAAACTTCAATAAGGTCTGAAACAGAGTGATATTTAGACAGGGTCAATCAACCTGAAATTGAACTGTATTATATATATATACTCTGCAGTGTTACGTGACTTACTGTGACAATGCTTTCA